TTTTTAATTGCCTATTAGCCATGAGTACAATAGTGTGGAACTATTAAAACATACTTAACATTTAGTAGGAAAAGCAATTTACTTATAAATTCACCAAATGATAGCCCAGCTTTTAAGATACATATAAAAGCAAATTCCTTGGTTTCTAGGAACAGTAATTTCCCTAAATTTCTGAAGCAGTTAAAAGTACCAATGGCCTTTCACAGAGTATTAACAGCCAAATTCCTTTTCTGGTCATTTTATCTAAGTTTAGAAACAAATATACATCACAGTCTCTTTGGATCTCAGTTCTAGATAAATAATTAGAATAGTTTTACTAAAATCTCTAGTTTCAATAAAATCCTAGAAAAAATCCTAGAAGGTATGAATTATACAACGGAAAACCCTTAATCTAAGATCTGATTTTTTATCATTCTCAAAAAGCTTTTTCTTATTGCTCTGTGATGCTATATATAGTAAGTATAAATACTACCTATATCTACCAAGTGGTATATTTATAACAGAAGGAGAACTTAAATTTTGTATGTAAAATCAGCTTTTTTTCCCCTTCTTCAACTGTGAAATTTGATTTAGCCTTACAGAGGTAAAAGTCAATAATGTTTAGGAATCCTTATTAATTTAAATGAAGAAAACCTTAGCTCCCTACAAACTTAGTAATACTTCAAATAATAATTACAAGTGTTGTACTGTAACAAAACAAAGGAATTTTGAAAATCTTTGAAATAAAGTTTATTAAAATATAACAAATATTTATTACATTATAAAATATCACATACCTACCACTATGTCTTTCTATTATTTTTTGAGAGGGGTAAGCAAACTGCTTAGAATTTGATTTTAACAAACATGTATAACATGAATTTTCATGGGCAGCTCTGGAGTACACAGTACTTAAAGCATCCACAGTAACTCTTTTTACAGTAAGGGCTAATAGATGTAGGCATTCAAACAGGGAAGAGTATCAGTCACAGTCATTTCCATCAATACAAATAAAGCATACTGTAAGTTGTAACTTAAAAAAAAGCAAATACTAAAATATAAATTCCTATACTAACAACAAAGGAAGAAATTCTAATTTGTGCCTTGACTCAGAAAGGAGAAAAACCTACCTACTCTCATATTTATTAATACACAAAATCTAAACTATAATCAAATGACTACATCCCACTAAGTTAACATGTGCTGAATGTGCAGTACCTTCATATTGTCCTGTACCATGTGCTAGGGATTTTATATGCAATTATTTAATATCATAAACTGTATGAAGTTGGTAAGCAATTTTTTTCTCCTTATATGTTGAACTGACTCATATTCCCCTTAAATAAGCACCTAGGACATTGCTTAGTTTCTATCATACGAATGCCAAGCACGATCAATTCAGAATTGGTAACTGTATTCTTCACAGAAAGGAAGTCAAAGAAAAGAATGCCAAGGAGCAGGAAAGGGAGCAGTTGGTAGCGTTAAGTTTAAAAGATGACATGCAGAGAATCAAAAACAAAGAAACATGAAGTAGATAAAATATCTAGCCCTGGAACCAACACCACAAAAAAAGAAGATAAAGGTTTTCCCTCACAATAAAAGGGGAAAAGAATAAGACTATATTCTATCACTTTTCCCTACTTCCACTAATGTTACTGTTTTAAATAGTAACCCAAGACTAATCTAATTGTGTCTAAATTGGGGTTGCTTTTGTTCTTGATACCTGCAGTAATACAAGGGCATCTTTGATTCTTCTCCCCAAGCCATTTGCAACTTTGGGTTCTCTGAATGTTACATAGCCATATATTCACATTACATGAGTGCATCCATGTAAAGTGACAAGATTTTTTTAAAATTTTGATTGGTTTTCTCAAAATAGCTAAAAGGAGGAGAAAGAATTGTTTATTTATTACACAAGAAAATTACTTTAGTCAGGATGGGACAAAAGTATCACAATGAATACACAAATATAGAGCTTATCCTACAGAAGTCGTTCTCAACTAATACCAGCTAATCATCTCCCTGCCCTCACCATTGGATGGGGGAGCATAACTGGAGATATATGGAGACACTTTTAGTTTTCACAATGATTGAAGAGTGCTATTAGCATTTAACAGATGTGGGACAAGGATGCAATCTCGCTGCAACAGGGAGGCAATTTTGTACTATGAGGATTCATAACCCTTAAAATGCCAATAAAGCACTCATTGATAACCACTGTCTCAATAGCATTTATTAATCATCTACTACTTCTGAAGGAATTAAGCTTTCACAAAAAAGAAAAAATTTCAAGAAGTCAAAAAAATACCACATAATTAACCATAGATATCAGAGGATGTTGTTTTAGTAACAGAAATTATATAAATAGTTATAAGTTATATTGTGGTTTTTTTTTAAAGACTCAATTTTAACTGAACTTTATCAGGTAAACCTGAAAAGGGAAGAGGAAAAAAAAAATCTCTCTGGGAACCCACAGGACCAAAACAAGCCAGTTACGGCTGCCTTAATAGAAATTTCAAGATCCTACCAGATTAGGTGATCAATTACTCTTTTTAAAAAAATAAATAATACACCCAGAGTACAAAATGACTTTGAAGAATTGGATGGATCCAGGACTAAGATTAAATCATAATCTCTAGCTCTAACTGTGACTGTTCAAAACCAGGTAGGTCCAATCCCTTTTATTCACCAAAACGTTCCTAAAACATTAAGAATGTCATTTTACGTTACTCTAAATTTTCACCCAATATTTAAGGATCTGGTCATCTCAAGTGTTGATGTTAACTATACATACCACTTAAATAGCAACGTCTTGGCTACATCCATTTTTCCTTGTTTATACTCCGTTATTGCCAGAGCTGTCAAGATATGGGCTTTGTCTTGTTCTGATTCAACAACAGACAAGGCTCTCTCATAGGCTGTTACACAGAGTCAGAAACAAAAGTAAAACAATGTAAAAGCAACCCTGATTGACAAACTGGGGTTTTTCCTTTCCTAATCCTAGCTTTCAAAATAGTCTAACTAAAATTATATATTATTCCTTTGTTCTCAAGTGAATAGAATAAAAACTCATAAATAACATAACTTGGTTTAGCTGTTCCACAGTGATTCTGGGGATATCATTAGAATTATTATGTGCCATTTCCCAAACTGCATCTTCTGAATCTATAGAGAATTCTGAGTCAGTAACATTAAAAGAATTGGAGGCCT